TCCGGCTGAACGACCAGAGGAGTCCGTGAAGTCGTTGCTGCTCAATCATCCTATGTCCACTGAGTTCCAGGCACATGAAAGGACTAAATTTAATTCGTTGATTCGTGCCGAGAATGTTACATGCCGCGATTTCATTCTGCAGCTGAATAAACCGGCTTCACGTTGCAGTTATGTTGATCGCCTGGAAGAAAACTGTGGAACCGATTAGTAGCATGCATTAACAATCCGACTCTCCAACGGAAGCTGCTGGAGAAAAAGGATTTAACTTTTGCCAATGTCTGCAAGATTTGTAAGCAACATAATGACCTGGTGAAAGCAACTTCCAGGGACGCAGTCAAATTACTTCAAAGGCAGAAAACAGGACCGAACCGATTTACAGTGACCAAGTGCACACCGAATCCACAGCAAGAACCTTCTAGCAATGATAAACGTATCGACCAGTGTTTGTCATACGGAGCTTACCATGTGCGCTTCAACTGCCGCTTCCATAATGCCAAGTTTCATGCGTGCCGGGAAAACGGTCGTATTCGGAGAGTGTGTAAGCACAACACAACAAATGGCCGAAAATGACACAAGCCCTATGCTCTCTACGACCCGAAAGCCAATGCACCCAATTCCCGTACAAAGATGTGACACTATAGTCCGGCACAGTGCACAAGTTCGTTGTTGACACGAGACGCACGGAATCGATCATTTCTACTGCAGTACTGTGGTCAATCTATTCCCAAGCCGAAATCCGTCCGACATCCATGCGCATCCTTGATGATACAAATTGCCATTGACGGGTGAGTTTTCGCTGTAGGTGCATTCCACAGAAAATCGTCTTATTCCCATTCTTAAATGCCAGAATCAGTCCATCCATACTTAATACAAGCACAGCTCTCAATGTGCATACCCGTATACTGTACCTAATCGTGAAATGTTCCAACAATATAGGAGGCATGAACGTGCGGCCGGCCAAATTGGAAGTTGACCGTGAGCCCATTTTCCTGAAACGACAAGCAATCCCATATGGTCGACTTGAAGGCGTGTTGGAGGCCCTTGAGAAAACGAAGCGCGACGGTATAATCACCCGAGTCACATCCAGTGCGTGGGCAACGCCAATTGTGATCGCGAGCCAAAATGACCGTAAAACACTACGAATTACCGGTAAACCCTCAACCAGCTGTTACGAAAGGGTGCGGCTACCACCATGACACCAGGGGTTTTCATGAAAGCATTGCACTGCACGTGCTCCTCGAAGATTTAACTGGCTGATGCGTACCTCCAGATTCTTCTCGCACCAGCCTGCGGGCAATCCGCCACCAGCAACACACCGTGGGG